AGTTTAGGTATACCTATGATGAAAATTACAGGCCTCTCTCATCTTTTTAAGTGGGAGAACTTGCACAATTGGTGGCTGACTAAATACTTTTTTGCCCCACTGTAATTTGTCTTGGAGTTTTGGCAGCCAGAGCAAATTTCTTAACCCTTGTGCTATACATAGTCAAAACTGACAAACATTTTTCCATACTCTTATCAAACAACAAGCTTCTAATTATTATTTTCAGCAGTCAAAAGTAAAAGAGAAGACTGGTTGAATTACTGTCCTGTGAAAAGAAGAAAAACGGAAGAAAATGAAATTGAAGGTAAACAAGTCTAAAACTTAGTAATTTGATTTTGGATGTAAGTAGGGACCTCATCAACAGCATTCAGATTGCCAAACAACACTTTGTTCTCCCTTCCATTTCTATATATTTTGTAGCTAATATCTCAGCAGACTGGTATTTTTGGAATTAGTTTTGCTAGACTAATCTAGCTATAAAAAATGTGATAGGTGAAATTAACACAGTTCATGAATTGAAGCAGGAGAGACTTGCAACCTGCTTGTTGGCTTCTCAGAGAAATCTGTCTGGCTGTGGTAGGTTAAGGATGCTAGGCAAAATAGACTTTTAGACAGAGCCAGCTGGATTCTTTCTTTGTAATTTGGTTTTGAGGACTGTACACAAAACTTCTTTGATCTTATTTAATTGCCTTCTCCAGGAGATAAAGGTGGGTGTTGAATTCCGTAGTTGTTAATGTCATTTGGCTTTGTTTCGGAGCATAAAGCTTTGTGTTCCATGATTTCAATGAGGGGCTGTGAGATTTTACCTGTGCACCCCAGAGTTTTTATTGTAAGGAGAGGGTCCTAGTATTAGTGTGCAGAGGTGTGTAGCAGCTGAGAGAAGGTAGGAAAAAGGAAGATGCTGGGAAGATTTGAGGGCAGGCTGGTGCATGGGCCCCATAGAGAAGGAAGGGACAGAGGGACAAAGCTGACCAACCTTGTCCTGCTTACTGCCAAAGCCTTTAACAATTGAAATGATTCCAGTTTTGGTTCAGCCAGACTGTAACCTGCCTAGAATGATCCAGCTGAATTTTTTTTTGGACACGGTGTGTTTGTTCCCTGGATGAAACAAAACACATATTCTGTTTTCTGCATATTTCTATTGTAAACCACCAAACTAAAATAGTGGGATGGTTTTGTTGCTAATCTTGCAGTTGATGATGACATTCCACTTGATACTGCAATAAAACTATTGGAAGGAAATGAAGCATTCCATGGATCCATGAAAGATTCCAAAGCCACTTTTGAAACCTACCGGAAAATGCATCTACAAAAAAGAAGCCAAAGCCTGGATAGCAGTCCTTTAAGCTAGGAGTCCATGGACTTGAGCTTTGTTTTGTGAACAACATGCTTTGGATTGTGGCTGCGCTTATATTAAGATCCTGATGATTCGGGCATGTAATGTGACTTCCATAGATGTGACCTTTCATAACTTATTTCATGCGTATCTTAAGTATGTAATAATGACTTACTTATCTTAAGTAAGTACTTATGTAAATGTATGAACTGTTGAATCCTGGAACGTGTTATAGTTTCAACTGTCAGAAGTTTCATTGGGTTCTGTTAAGTTCAACATCTGGCCTAAGTTTCAGAATGATAGCAAGGCAGTGTCAGTTCAAAAAGAGGCCAAATGTTTTTTAACTAGACATTTTAAAGGAATTAGGCTGTATTTTGTTAAGCGTTGGGAAAATAGCTAAAACAAGGAACAAGAGCTTGTAATAAGCCTTAGTAGGTTTACAGGGAACTTGAGAGACTATCAGCTGCTATCAGTTTTGTTGGGACATTAGGATCATACCAGGGAATCAACTTTTGCTTTATCTGTAATTCCATTTCTATAATGGGTTTTTGGGGTAGAAGGGGGTTCTGGGTAAAAGAAGCAAAAGGGCTAGTGTTAAAATGGTTACTATGATTGAAATGGAAATATATTTAAAATTTGAATTTGAATTCTGAACCATTTTAATGAGCATTTCATTTGGACTCTTCCAATTATTTTTACAAGACAAATCCCTCAGTAAGCTATATTAGCTAAATGTAACAAAATTTGTGCCTAGAAACTACTGTGATATTGAATGTTCATTTTAAGTGCCTTTTATTGTTTGGCACTTTTGTTACCTTGTTTATTTTGGCAGTAATATGTATTTTGATTAAATGTTTACTTACCTTTAAATGGTGGTATCTGTTTACAGAATTAAAAACACATTTATTTTGACCATAAGTGGTTTTTGTGTATTTCTAAAAATTGCTCAAATTTTAAATTGGATGGCTAAGGTTATAAATGACATCCTATGCAAGATCATCTCCAAAATCTATTTTTGTTACTTCTGCTCCTATACAGCATTGCTTTTTTGACTGAAAGTTCACAATACTTTTAAGTAGAATAAACAACATAGTTAAATGATGTATGTGCATATATAATATGCAATTCAGGATAAAAACATGAATAAGATAAACATGCAGAACACAAGTACAAAATATAAATGCAAATTGTAGGATTACCAGTGCTGTTCAATAAATAATATACTTTACCTGCAGCTTTTCATGCTCTGGGCTGCCTCCTACTTTGGGGTAGTGCCTTGGTAGTTCTCATTACCACCACCCACCTTCCAAGCGGTCCCTCACCTGGCATCTACTACATAACTCACAGTATATGAGTGAGTGAGAGAGTTCTTACAATCTCTGCTGCTTTTCTGGCAATTAAAAGATAAAAATGCAAAAATTGAAATAATTTCAATAGCATAGAGGTATGTGATTAGATGATTCAGCCCTGTATTTCCTCTATGGGAGATAACACCAGAGTTAAAGAAAGTCCGCCTGTGTTTATCAAGAATAGAAGATAACACAGAATAGAAGCCCTTTTAAACTTTGTGGGATCATTCTGTGTTGAAAAAAGATAAACCACAGAGCTGCCCAAATCATGATAATTCTACTGATAAGTAAAAAGGTCTACCAAGAAATAAGGACCATTAAAACTAGTGCAGTCTATAACATAGGCATTAAATTTAATGGAACTCTTGATTTGATATTTACTTATTTCTACAGAATTGGAATCCTCTTATACAAGTCCTCTTGAGGTTTCTTTTAATAGGACTTTCCTTCTTGATGGGATTCCAAACTTTAATGAGAGATTGTAGGGAGATGGCAAATTCTTCTGTAAATATGGTCAGACCATCAAAGGTGGATGTGAATGTCATCATTGTGGCTAATTTGGCTGAATAGTGGGTATCATTTGTTGTAAGCCAAGAGGAAAAGCACACTACAGCCCATAAAATTTCCACTCTATTTCATTGCAGTGTGCCTTTCCCAACATGTTGTGTGAATGTAATTAAAGGCTCCTTTGAAATCTTGACTTTTTTGCTGTCGTAAGAAAAAGTATTTTGCTCTTTTCTTTCTTTGCTGTGGCAGCAAGCCTTAATGCCACATCTTTCTATTTTTATTTTTCTGCTTTCTCAGTTTATACCTGAACCCTGCCTGTGCTCCAGTAAAATGAATCATTTCTCAAAATCCTGTTTTCCCCAGTCTTCTTTGAATCTGTCTGTTTTTTTGTCATTGAATTAAATGTATTAAATTCCCCACAGATTGTTAACTGCTTAAGATCTCTATGTTAGTCTGCAAACTGTAACTATTGAATGCCAAGTAATTAGCCTCAAATATTTGTTTATAACTAAATCATTGCATATTAATTATAATTTCATTTTTGGACTTATACGAAGTCCAAAACACATTAGCTTGTTTCCTAAAATAGTGTTTAGTTCTGAGACTGTGAGCGGCCCGGGTTTCTTTTCATTGTAGATAATGTCTTCATATCTGTTTATCTTGCAAAGGATGAGGTCATGCAAACGGCTGCTGCTTCTGTTTTTCTTGTAGAATTGTCCTGATTCCTTTGTATCTATCGTTCATTTTTAGTAAATAAACCATTATTAAGCATGACTATTTGATATCCAGATTAATAAGCGTAAGAATGGATTTTCACACTAATAATGTGGTTAATAACCTGTTAGGGTTTTTCTTAATATAGTACAGAACACAGACACACAGACTGTACTTTGTTTTTCTACACAACGCTATTTTATTGTACAAAATATAAACTCCTGTCTTATTCTATTATCTCTCTATTTTCTATCTATTTCTATTCTTATTTAATCTGTACATTTTCTATCCTTATATTCTACTTCTATTTTCTTATTCCTATGTGTATAATCCTATGGTTTTTCTTATGTTAATTATTTCTTAGCTCTTAGTTTTCTAAATCTTCCCCTTTTCCTCAGGTTTTCAGCTCTTGTAGCCCGTCTCAGTCCATTTGAATGTGAAAACCCTTTTCACTCCTTTATAGACTTGCAAATGGGCTTTTCTCTCCCCCCCCCCCAGCACACCGTCTTCTGTTCCTGGAGCAAGTTTGTAGAGCTCTGCGCCTGGGCTGCTACACACAGTGGGCTTGGTTCGGTTTGTAGGCTTTTGTGGGTTTTCAGACTCTGGTCGGGCCTCTCAGCGGTCTTGCAGCTCCAAGAATTGACTTTTTTCTCTTGCTGTCTGAAGACTACTGCTGAGGTGTTTGCTTTGGTTTGGAGCCCTCTTTTTCCTGAGTCTCTTCTGTCTTCTTGGCATAACTTTTTTATTGACACACCCACACACATGCTTGCTTTTAGTTCCTTTTCTATAAAGCAAACTCTCCAATTAAGGAGAGGGTGGGGCTGTTTTAACCTTCCTTCCAGGCAGCACCAAAATTCTGGGTCCCAGGAAGGAAACATTGTTTGTTCACTCCAGGTTGTAAGTTCACTCTTCCACATAACCATTATGTAAGCCAGCATTTCCCAACCTTGGAAATTTCCAGGTTTTGTTGACTTCGACTCCCAGAATTCCAGAAGCCAGCAGAATTCTGGGAGTTGAACTCTGTATACCTGGAAGTTGTCAAGGTTTAGAAACACTGAAAAAGGAAACAGCTGTATTTTCTGTATATGTCACCGCCTCATCTTTTTGGCAACTCCTTTGAAATGCAATCTATATGGGAGACTTTTTTTTAAAATGATGCCTGTTCATTTATGTTATTCAATCTTCCACCAAAAAATGGAATGATTAAAACTACTACTTTGTACCACTTCTTCTAAAATCTCATTGTTGAAACTCTTAGTTATGAAAAATGCAAAAGCTTGGTAGGAAACCACTGGAAACTTATTCAACTTCCTTTTTTTTTCAAATAATCACATTCAAGATTATAATTACAATAGTAAAACCTAATACAAATTAAAAGAAAAATAGAAAAATAGAAGGAGTAAAAAGTGCAAGGGGAAAAAAATAGGAAAGACATAAAGAATAGAAAGAAAAAAGAAAGAAAATATGCATATAGTAAAGAAAAAGAAAAATATATAAGAAGTGACTCCCAACCTTCATCACAACAAGTATGAACAATTATAGTAACTTTTTACCTCTTAAATTACAACAAATGATCTCTTCTTCCCATATCACATCTCTATCTATAGACAAATCCATAAAGCATTGTCATGTCAGTCCTGGTGTCAGCAAAAGTCCATTAGGTTACCAGAAATAGTAGTGTCCTGGTATCAGCAAAAGTCCATTAGGTTACCAGATACGTTTATCTATTTTAACCTTGATCAAATAAGCCAACTTTACATTCCTCCCTTTTACTTCTAACAATCTTAATCTTTAGTCCATTCGAATAATGTTGTAGAACTTGATTTCTTTTCATTTCTTTTTTGTCCCTTTTCACGAGACTATTCAAGGCTTTAACAAGTCTCTTTTGTAAATCCAATATAGAAAAATTATCCAGATCACTCTCTTGGTTTATAAGTCAGGTAAATCTTGTCCTCTTCCATAACATCTTTTAGACACAGTCTATCCACAGAGGCAGATATCACTGTTGACATTGTTAATATTAATTTCTGACTCCATTTTTCAAAAGTATCCTTCAATATTTCCAGTGTTAGAATATTTTTTGCCATTTTGTAACTGTTAGTCAAGTTTATGTGTTCTCCTCCTTTAACTGAAATCTTTAGTTCCCTCTAATGTCCAATGTTTAAAATCGTACTAGGTTTTTTTTTAAATCAAAACAAAAGCATTTTCCCATGGGAAGGATTCTTTATAATTAATTCCA